ATCGTCACACATGTGACTAAATAGTAAATTTATCGTTTAAATTCAAAACAGACAACTTCTTTCTTTTTAATCGACAATTCTTTACGAAGTAACAAAATAAGATTTTGTAAAGTCGTTCGATTTTTCGCATTTAAATGTTCACGTATCGCTTGTCGGGGGCAACCTTAGCTACAGCTACAACTACAGGGCATCTCTTCCATATCCTCTACTCTGTTCGCAAAGCACGCTCGATCTCGCTATCTTCCCTCCTTAAACTTGCTTGACTTCCGATGGATATTAGACAGAGCCGCACGTAAAGCTGCTCTGACAATTTTAGTGTCATCGACTTTTCTTTTGTTTTTCCTTATCTCTCTCTCTCTTTCTTTTTCTCTCTCTCTCTCTCTCTCTCTGTCTGTCTGTCTGTCTGTCTGTCTGTCTGTCTATCTGTCCGTCTGTCTGTCTGTCTGTTTGCTCGAAAGCGGAAGGGTTGTCTAAGACGACTGACATAAATTATTTTACTTCCTTTCGTTATTTTTTATTTTTCTCATTTCATTTCATCAATCTATAATTTTAGTGATTTCTACGGAAATAAATTCCATGAAAATAATGAAAGCTTCTATTTTTATTACGCGTATAATTATATTTAATTATATAAGATCTTATAGACTATATTCAATGTAAAATGGCATTGAATCTTGATAGATAATAACCCTTTTCTAATAATTTTTCTTGATACATGCAAGACTCTATTTTTTGTTGTAGGAAGATATTTTAAATTAAAGATTTAAAATAAATAATTATACTATATATTTTATATTCAAGATTTATCAAGACTTTGTAACAAAGTTTTTAACAACATTTCACATCAATTTTAGTAATTACAATGTGTTTTTGTTTACACGCGAGACCAAAACTCATTTCGGTATTGTCATCCAGATTTTAGCGACATTCCCTGTAACTTGTAAAACCAGGATTCTTATTACAATACCAGACTATTTGTTGTAACTTAATGGAAAGGTCTATTAAAAATATATATATATATATATATATATATATATTAATTTATATGTTATAAAGAATTATTTTACTGTATTAGACATAATTTAGATAGCATTAGATAGATTTAGTATTATTTTGTCTCTTCCTTTTAATTTGATTTCTTATGCAATTTCCTTATACTTTCATTTATACTTTTCATATTATCATCGTTTATGCTTTTAAATTTTAATTTATAATCCGAATTACAAGATCTTTATTCTATTCTTCTTATCATAACCTTTTTATTTTTTCGCATCTCGTAGGATTTTTATTCCGTGTAGTAGATGTATTACGTCAATTTAATAAAGCTTAATACTTTTATAGTATTATAATTCTACAAACTATTTCTAGAATTAAAGATTTGAGTTTTTAATGACGTTGAGTATTCTTTGCATTATTTACTTTAGAATAAAATAAATAATCAACAATTATCAATTACTTTCGTCTAACGCGTTTGTAATGCTTTTTTTTTTCTTTCAAACTTATTCAACAAAATTTTGACGAAACTTATAATTCAGAAGGAATCGAATATTTTACTAGCAGATATTTTTCTAGAGCATACGAATGTAATAAAAGAATTTATTTTATGACTTTCAATAGAAATTCCTAACCTGACAAAACCATGGAGCCAAAAGAAAAAAGAAAAGATAGGGAGAAAGATAGAAAGGAAGAAAGAAAGAAATAAAGAAAGAAAGAAAATGCTAATTATCCAGGTACGAATGCTATTCCATAGCGAGAAGGTGAATATTCTTTTAATTCCCTTCGAGCTTACCATACGTATGTACGACATAAGAATAGCTGTATAATTGTGCACAATAAGCGTTCGCATTCATTTATTAGTTCTGCTCAGTTCGGGAAGCCTACATTAATGCAGCGTCAGCCATGACAACGCTACTGCCCACTCGAGCGTTACGCGATAGAACTAGAACAATTAATGGACTTGGACGTGCGTGCATTATATACGCAGCGCACGTATGACTTGTACAACGAATGGATTCCATTATATGTGCGCTTAAATCTGCGTAACGAGTAAGCAGTATTTCCTACTCAACTACTAACTACCCGCAACTGCTTTATAATATTTACACATATACGCGCATAATATATATATATATATATATATTTCAACTAAGTATAACAATTATTATGTGCTTGTTTATTCATATAATTCATATTTAGCTGCGTATAATTGCTTATTATTCCATATCGATAGGAGCATTGGAAATTTGAAAATTTCATGTAGATAAGACAGTTGATGTTGATGCCAGATATTAGAATCATATATTCGGATTATGTACAAATTTTAATTTTATTACATATCTCTTATGTGTAATAGATAATTAATTTTACACGTTCATCAATCTTTTTCATCAATATTATTCATGCAATCCCGTTGCAATTTATTTAAAAATAATGTTATAATACAAACCATAAAATGATACTCTAATGAAGTTGTACATAATATTGTAGAAACGAACTCATTGGAAATTATTAATTAATTTACGCTAGCCACGGTACTTTCGTAAAATGTAAAGTACAAATATTTTTCCTACATTAAATTTGAATCAATTACTTCTTGATAATAGGGAATAAAATATTCATTTTAATGCGAAATTGACAATTGCATTAGTTCAGCGATGACTGTTATTTTGAAATCTCTGAATTTTAACACGTTTGTAAAGTTTATTTTTGCCTGGCATTTCAGCATCGGTAACGAGTTGCACTAAATAGAGCCTCGGTAACATTCTTTCGCTATTCGCGGCTCATTAAACAAAATTTGCCGTATTCTATGTTCTCGTCTTTTCTCTCCCCCCCTCCCTCCCCCATCATGAGCTTTCCTTCAGGGATAAGATGACGGAATTGTCACGTACGGTCGAGCATCGCGTGTTCATTATTAACTCTTGTACATGCGAGCTAAATAATGAAATATTAATACAACGGTAGATACTGTGACACGTACACGATGGCATTTATATGGATAAATGCATGTTTTTGCATGCAGGCGCACGATACCGAGTCGTGAACGCACATCCATAACGAATAATATTTAAACATACGTAGTTTATATGGTGTATATGCTTATTTTTATGGATATAAGAATTTTTATCGAATGCTAATTAAGAGAAGTAATAAGAAATTTGTACGTATAATTTAACAAATTCTTTTTGCTTGACGCCGCACAGGAATTCTAATTTATATTGGCCATAAAATAAAATAAAATGTGTAATAACAAAATGATTTTTGAAAGCATAAAAATCATGATTATGTTCGAGAATTTATAGTTACATTTTTCAATAGTGAGTTGCGACTAATTGATACAATTGGTCCTGTAATATACTAATTAAAAAAAAATTATAACACGAATAAAATTGTAAATATAACTCGTAAAAATTTCTTCGTTTTTTAATATATTGAAAACAATGTTTGAATAATACTCTTTTTGTATGATGCATTATTAATTTGTAAAGGTGGTGTTATTTTAAAGATACCTGGTATCTCGTATTATATAAATTGAAATATTATGCGAAAACAGCTTAATCTGGAATACGCAAAAGTGCAACCCTTACCTACGGCTTATACAGCTCAAGTTTACTCTTTTACAGGTTATCGACAAAAACATTCTTTACATGTATGTGCCGTCCAATAAGAAATTGCTATATAGTTCATTTCCATTATTCCTTATAAAACTCCATAGATGTCAATCAGAAAGTTAAATGGTTTACAATTTTAATGTTAAAAAATAGAAGAAATAGAGTATTACTCTTAGTAGCACGTCAAACTTATAGGTTTATAAATAATAATAATAAGAATATGAGTTTATTTTGAATTTACTAGTTCATTTTGAAGAATCAAGGCTTATTGAACATATAAAATAAAAACTATATGTTCTCCCGTCTTCATAATTAATTATAAAACTTTATTTACGAAACATTGAATTATTATCATTTATCAAATTTCACTTTACTTAACTCGAGTACTTTAATATTAGATACATAAATATGAAAACCCAGATCTAATCATATTAGATGTACACTGATAAGTTGTATTCAAACGCAAATCTAGGAATCTGTATTATTATAATACAATTATAATAATATAATATAATATAATTATAATAATACAAAGTCTTAGAAACATAGATATAAAAGTAAATAACTAAGCAAAGGCATAAAACTAATTAAATTTAAAATATATTACAGCTAATTATTTATTTTTAAATATTATTTTTAAGGCATATTAGAAAAGCTGTAAAAAGTACACAGTTTGAAATTTTTATGCGAAATATCTATAAATATTTATAGATACAATTTAAGAATAATGCGATACTATCGTAATTAATTAAAGTAAATCTATAGTAAAATATTATTACTATATCTTAGTTCGTATTACATTCAAACACATGTAAATGATTTAATTGAATATTAATGTTTTATTACTTCTGTTGCAGGAATTGGCAGTAGGAATCAAAAATAAAAGTGAAGAGAATGAAAAAACAAAGTCATAAAACTCTGGCGTTGAGGAATGATAACAGCAAGTACATATTATTAAAGAAAGAAAGAGTGGGACTACGCCCCTCCAAACCTTACATTCTAAATATTAACCTGATATAGAATTTTTAAAATTGAATTAATCAACAGATAAGAAATTATGAATCAAGTAGTCAAATAGAAATATGAGAAGTCAATAATTGAAAGTATACAAATCAAATCAAATAAAATAAGACAGAGTTAGGTATATAATTACAGTAATTTCGATAGTTTTCGCTTTAATGTTTAAAAATAATTTCGATGGAGAAATACTTATTAAGCAGCTGCAGTATTTTCAAATATAATCTTTATATATATATGTAATAAAATTAACATCAATAAAAAAAAAAAAAAAAAAAAAAAAAAAAAAAAAAAAA